TTTAAGTGGGAGAACCTGCACAATTGGTGGCTGACTAAATACTTTTTTGCCCCACTGTACCATCTAGTTCAATTTCTTGCTCAGAGCTGGATAGGTATAGTGATAAAATGAAAACAAATCTAAGCAGCTGGTATCCTTTAGATGTCTTGGACTATGGTACTTTGAAGGTCTAGGTTAGTCTAACACATCTGGAGGTACCAGCATGGGAAAGGAAGGGTGATCTAAGATAGGCTCAGAACATTCCTCCCCCACTTTAATGGTTACTCCCTCTTTTTTCTAAGCAGCCTTGAATGACCTGTTTATTTTTTTTATTTATTAATTAAATTTTTATACTGCCCAACTCCCAACAATTCTGGGTGATTATTAAAACAAAGACTTTCCTTCCAAGTTGTATTCTGGATTATGGTCCCTTAAATTCAGGAGATGACTCTGTTGGGTCACAGCTTCTTTCCACAACTCATATTCACATAGTTTCAGTTTTGTGGTATTTGGTAGTGTGAGATAAGTTGCCATTATTCATTCAGAGATGCTGATGAAGTTAGGTTATTTCTCATACAATACGAGGGTATAATAATTTATGAGACTGGATTCATAATATTTTGTGTTTTGAGTTTAAGAAAGAGAATGTGCATTCTTATTTAGGCAGACTGATGAGATTTGGGATATGCTGGCTTTTTAAGATTCATTTTAATAATCTTAGTGTTTTAACTTACAGCCCTTTGCTTTTTTTCTTACACTGCCTTAAATGAATTAACAAGCTTTTTGAATGTTTCATATTTTCAAAAGAAATCTACATTTTACTAGAAGTCCTTCTAAATTATTCTATTTATGTGGAAGAGATTGGACAGAATCCACATGATTATGCAAAGTGTTTTTATAAATCTCTCCCACCTGCTCTTTTTTGGTTAGGATAAGCAATAATGGATTTAAACTACAGGGAAGCAGATTTCAGTTGAACTTCAGAAAAAAAAAATCCTAGTGGTAGGAGTTGTTCAACAATTTAAAAGCCTTTGGAGGAACATGGATCTCCATCACTGGAGGAGTTTAACTGGGGCTAGGTGCCCATGCTATAGTTGTGAACTGCTGCACAAGATAATGAGTTGGACCAGAGGATCTCCAGGATCCATCCAACCTTTCAATTCTATGACTGTATGACACTACATCCCAAACATTAGGGAGAAATTTCTGAGAAGGGTAAAATAATTTTAAGTGTTTTTCCTACTAGCTGTCATAAGACCAGAGCTGCCCAATACCACTGAACCTGGAATTCGGGCATTGCACATATACATCCACTACTCAGTTTCAACAAGGCCAATCATGCAGTAATATATTGTGTGTGTGTGCCTTTGAGTCAGTGTTGACTTCTGGCAACTACCTGGACAAGTCCCTGCAGTTTTCTTGGCAAGGTTTTTCAGAATTGGTTTGCCATTGCCCCCTTCCTAGGGCTGAGAGAGAGTGACTGGCCCAAGGACACCCAGTAGGCTTTGTGCCTAAGGTAAGACTAGAACTCACAGTCTCCCGTTTTTTAGCCTGGTGCCTTAACCACTACATAAAACAGATTAAAAATATTAAATTTAATAGATTAATAATAGATTTAATAATAATTTAAGAATAGATTAAATTTAATCAGTAAGAGATTAAAAAGAATTATTTAAAGAATGGAATTCAATAAAGGATTGCAAGTACAGTGTTGGTTATAGGTTACAAAGAAAAACACTGAGCGCAAAGGTTCAACCAAACTGCCATTTGGGCCAGCTGATCTACCCACCTACCCAGAAAAGTTCTGGTTTATGTCCTTTTTTTTAACCTGTTTTCTTAAGAAAACAGTCTTTGCCAAGTTGTGCCTATGTCTGATACATTGTGGGTTTTTTACAAAAAAAAGAGGCAGAAAAACCTTGCCCAACTGTTTGTCTACTGCATTTCTCCGTTTGAGCTCTTTGTAATATTAAATAAAACTTTATACTGAGAAAGGCCTGCTCATGCTAACAAAATTAAGTAAAACTGCATACTAGGCCTAGATACTCTCTTTCACCAAATTCTTATTCAGAAAGTCAGCAATACATCATTCATCCACAACTATATACTGTGAAAAAGCCCTGTACAAAAGTGGCTTTAGACGATACTATCTCCCTACCGCAAATTAGGTGGCATTTCAGATATACATAAATATGGACTACTAAGTCAAGAGAGCAAATGACTCATTGGGGTGTATGGCACCTTTTAGGGGCATTTTCACAAGAAACATTTTGTGATAGCAATCTTCTACTCATCCTTTATTGCAGCTTTCTCTAAGTGGGGCCTAAATAGACCAAATATATTAGATGGTACCAGGTTAAAGAAAGCTCCTCATTGTATGAAACTGAATTAAGGAGTGGAAAAACAACTTCACAACTGTTTTGTTGTCGAAAAGCACAACTTTCCTAAATTAAAGCAGAGCATTTAAAAGTAAAAAGGTTATAAATAGATTATTAAAATGTACTTACTTTTTTCAGCCTGCTACTCGTAAAGCTTTTAACGTGCTGCGGTGGATTGATTCCGGATGGAGTAGAGAAAAGTAAAGGCTTAGCAGCCAACACTGTAGATTGAAACACAAAGTAAATATTGAAGCTCTAATATAAATAGCATAACTAAATTTATTTTCGTCAGCTGAAACAAAATGGTCAATTCAAAATTTCCTGTAACCCAACAGTTTCACTACAAATTTCACTAATTGTGTGTTTCACTAATGAGACCTAGGAAGTGTGCCTTTTCTGTCACAGCACCTGTTTCTGGAAAACCATACCCTGAGATTAGATGGGCCCCAACCCAGCTGGCCTTTTGTAAAGTATTGAAGATGTCAATGTGCTTCAGGGCCCAGAGGTCAGGAAGCTAGATGGCCCGTGGAAAGGGTTTTGTTGATTGTTCTCTTTGGGTTTTCGCTTGGTGATCAGTGTAGGTTTTTACTCCTTGTTAATATTGGTTTGTGTTTTGTTTTGTTTTTGCATGTTGTTAGCTGCCAGAGTCACATTTGTGAGATGGGTGATCATAAAATATCAAATAAATATTTCACTACAAAGTAGATGCATCTAGAGGGGGGAAATTTTGAGAAAATTTTGACAAAGATGAAAGAAGAGCACTTATTTCAGGGCTTTTCCTATGGCTGTGTTCATGCAGAGAGTAAGGAGGATGACCTTGATGAAGATAAGCAAGCTTTGTTGCCAAAGTGACTATGGGGTAAAAGATTTTTTAAGTTCAGAATATCCAAATAATGTTTGGAAGTGGCTCAGATAGACACTTGCCTAATTCACTGAACTATAGGAAGAAGAAGAAGGAACAAGGCAATCAGACTTGCAAGATTCTGTTGTTACAGCCAATCTCAATAAAAATAGTTTTAGCCTTCTTGTGGTCTGGTCTACCCAGTGGACCTGACTGTTCCAAGTGTATTCCTCCTGTCCTTGGCTTGGAAAAAAACGTAAGCCGCATCGTTTGTGTGGTCCCTGCAGCCAAGCTCTATTCTGGCTCAGTGATGAGGCTGGCAATTTTATGGCTGTGGTTGCCTATGATAGAGAATTAGGCACCTTTCAGGTTGCCTGAGTAATAGGTCCACAGAGCTCTTGATCTGCCTCCCACTTCATCCCATGCCCCCTCCACCCCAATTTGTGGCTAGTTGGACTATTTTGGACAGAAGTTTAGCAAACTTCCAGAAAATTGCTAAACCTGCATTTAGAAAGAGGCTGAGTAATAGGTCACCAACATGCTGGAAGAATTGTGAGGGACATTGGGCTATCTCCTTCCCACTTCACCCAAGTAAGGCCATGTGAAAATACACTGGCAGCAGCAGCAGAAAGCCTGTAATGGAGTCACAGGTGGAAAAACCAACAACATGCAGCTGGCACAACCTACTTCTTTTTCTCACTTTAAACTGTCTGGAGTGCCAGTCTTTTTTTATAAAAGAAAAATAGGTCTAATGTTTTTCTGAGTAAGAGAGACAGAAATCGCTTCTGGAAAAGCACTAGACCTATATGTATGTATGAAGCTTGTGTAATGTCCCATCTAGCATGATGTGGACAAATGCAATTGCTAGTATCTACAGCCTGATGTGATGAAATGTGAGGGTGACCTTGGAAGACGGGGGGAAGAGACGCCACCTAGGGAACTATCAGATAAAAGAGAAGAGTCCGCAACAGAGTAATGGCCAGAGAAAGAAACTTAGGAAGGACCCGCCCTTACTACTCAGGCGGTAAACAGGGAGGGTGGGAGATTTGTACTTTCAGACTTGCAAGATTCTGTTGATGTAACCTTACAACAAAGTAGAATTAGGTCATCTAGTGGTGTTTCCTGTCTGGTTGACCTGGGAGGGCTAACACCAAACCATACTTCTCATCTCCTAGGGTGCCACTTTGTCAGTGATATCATGTGTGTTTCAAATTAATTTATTATTTATTTAACTTGGTTTTAGTCTTGCATTTTAAGGATTGTAAACTCTGGCAAGATCCTGTAGATAGTCATTTCTTTATGTAAAATATTTGTCAATAAACAAATAAATAAAACAGGTATCTGCTTTTTTCTGTAAAGGTGAACCTTATTCTATTCTGCAGAAATTATGAAGATACTCAGCTTCTTGCTTTTATATCAGGAAGCTTCTCCCTGAGCTTTGAGCCAGGAACCTCCTTCCAAGCACATTTCCAAAAGTTTTCATAATCTTGCTGGTTCCTTATGAGTCCAAGTTTAGTTAGTTCATTCTGCAATCCGGTAACCTTAAACAAAGGAATTAGGGAAAGAACATTTACTTTAAAGCGGGTGATTAGTTAACAAGCATCCATATGAAATACCACAGGATTTACTTCATCAAGCCCCAATCTCTATAAGTGAGGCAATGCATGTCATGCAGAAGTGAAGTTATTGAAGATGCTCTTTTCAACATAACCTGATGGCTAGGCAGGATTTTGCACAGGAAAAAAAAGAACCAGGCTGCTAAAATGACTATAGTAGTGGTAATACTGCTTATCACATATGCATCAGATAAAAAGGAAGGAAGGGCGTCCTTATTTCCCTCTGTGCCTGTTTAGCTGCACAGTAAGGCCCATCACATTAGCTAGATATATCTTATCATTGACAATTTACCAGATTTGCTTTTTGTTTATTAAATAGAGGGACTTCTACATGAAAGCACTGGAAACAAAGCAATAACTATCTTAAACCTACTGTGGCCAAAAAAAAAAAAATTGTGGCACTTTTGTGGCTTAAATTTATTATGGCAGAAGTGTCCATGGACCACAGTCCATTTCATCAGCTGCACGGAGTATTATCTTGAGACAGGGACATATATTCATTGTGATTTCAGCAGAAATAGTAAACATAGTTTTTCAAAGTAATTTTGAGCACCTATCCTATAACAGCTCTGGTTTTTCCAAAAGATCTTGCCATAAAACAACTGCGATCATATTAGAACTGCATTAGTAGAAGAACATGTTTATTACCAAATAAAATCCATCTAACTGACCATATGTAGTTCAATGATTCTCAAACTGTAGTCTGTGGACCACCAGTAGTCTACCGCAGCCTCTCCCATTTAAGTTCTCTTGCCACCTCAGTCCTCACCTCCCCGATAGTTAGCTAGTTTGCAACCATAGATTAGGAACTAGTTTGCAAGCATGGATTAGGAGCCAAGAAGTGTACAAGTGATAATGCAAATAGTAACGTGAGTGCTAACATTCAGAGAACGGACAGTAAACAGATCTACCACCTACCACGTGAGTCCACACATGCTGTCCTGGATAGAACTGTGATCTCACAGCAACAATTCAAAAAGGAGAATGTGAATATGAAATACAGTGATGATGATCAGTTCCTAAAAATGGGATTTCCCTGGGCTGGAGATCCATTTCCACCCTGGAGCCTGAAACTCAAGGGATTTCTCTTGAAGAACACTCTTGACCAGCAAATTTGTGCTATGAGTTCTTACGATGGGATGGGGTACATAAAATAATTCAAGTGATAAATAGTTAATTTCGGATTAAACATTTTCCTAGAAAATTTAGTTCTAAAAGATATTTTAAAAAGTAGGAGGATGAGAAGGCATGCAGAAATGCAACCACAAATCTAATTTTTTCTATGTTAGTTCACATTTTTAGTGAATAAAATAGAGGGAGTTGGTTTAACTAGGTGGTCCCTGTACTTTTTAAGTATTTATTTAGTAGTCCAAGGCCACAGAAAGTTTAAGAAAAAATGCTCTAATAGGTTTAACCATTTTTTCCGATAAGCAGATAACCCAGGACTTGTTAAATAAAAGCAGTAAAATAGAAAATCAGTCTTCATGAATGTAAACTTTTCAAGAAGTAAAAAAATGCCAGATGCCCACAATGACTAAATAAATGCTGAAACATAACACTGGATATCTATAAATAAACTGTCCCCATTGTTAGTTCCCTTACAGAAAAATGAGTATCGTAATACAAATATATCGTAACAGTACACAGACTGAAATACATTTTTTCGTGGTGATGAGTGTTTTTCTTTTCTGTATCCCAAAGTTAAAATCTGCATTTGAGAAAGAACCTAAAGTTATGCAGATTATGAGACAGTTCCTGAAGATAAGATGCATTTTCACAAAGTGCTGTGAGTAACTACTTAGGATCTATTTGTAATTCAAAACACAACAAATCTCCATATGGACAGACCACTAAGATGATCTGCATAAAACCCAGAGACTTGTTTACTTCTTCTGTTGATTCCATAATTATATTGTATTATAATTTAAAGGTGAATTTTTTGAATAGCTTTACAGTACCCAGGGTTAAAAATAGCATCTTATAATTACTTCTTTGTGACTATGTAAGTGCCTGCCTTACTAACTGTTAACTAATGATTTGGAGGAAGAAGAGGACATGCTCAGATTAAGGCAGGGAGATTAAGGAGGGGTAGATGGGAACCCTTTTGGGCCACATATTTCTAATAAGCAGGATGAGAAAATTATAATCATTGGAAACTTACACTACAACTACTACCTGAGTAAGCAGTGGTTTTTAACGCCCAGGAGTTTTCAGTGTAAATTCAATTTCTTTTCAAACCAGACTGTCTAGAAGAACCATGTTTAGAAGGTACTTTTTGGGTGGATAACCAAGTCTTTAAGCTAGATCGGTAAGGTGCTTTCACCTTATGTGGCTGACAGAATGAATTGTTAGAGAGTAAAGGAGAAAGGGAAGAGGGCCAAGAGTCTTCACAGCTGACTCCTTAAGGCAACCATTTGACTGTCCTGGAGGAAAAGCGAGCTGTTTTGTCCTGGGATATGTATTTGACATTTTCTACAACACTTCAGTTACAGCCACAAAACCAAATGGAGATGGGCATCTTACCAAGTAGCTGCTTGACTGTGAAATGGACTCCAAGTACTTCATATCATGAGACAGCTTGCAGAAAGGCAGTTTACGACGAGGGATACACTTTTATCAAAGAAGATTTTAAAAAAATGGTTATTTTCTCTCCAAATAGCTGGGAAACAAAGCTCAAAACAAATGACAAGTAAACATTCAGCCACAGGAAGCCATTAACCACAGTGGGCACCAATTAGAACCCAGCAGGCATTCCTAAGACCGCCTGGTGCTCTCCCCCCACCCCCCACCGCACTCCCCAGCTTTGACCGAAGACTCGCAAACACAGCCTTAGGAAGCAAGCTCTGTCATTTACTCAGCAATTTGTATTCTGGCTGGCAGGCTTATAAATTTGTTTGTAGCCTTGTTCAATTTCCCTTCAAGTTTCTTGTCATCAGAAGTCACAAACTACTGTCTGGCCAAAAATCAATCAATCAATTAATTTCTATCTACACTTTGGAGAAGAGAATTTAAGTTGCAGCAGTTCCTTTCTCTTTTCTATTTTTTGCTGTTCAGTGGTGGATTCTTCAATACAATTTTTAATATAAATCAAATATTTGCTTTAGAGAATCCTCTTTTCTTTCAGAGGCTAACACAGCTTCCCAGATGGTGGTGGGTCACAATTCCCATAATTCAGACTGCAAGCTACTGGCTGGGAATTATGGGAGTTGTATAGAAAAATCAGTTTCCTTGCTGCTGCCGACTGGTTGTCTGGATTTTTGCAGCCAGATCTGGTAGCTTTAATGCTAAAGCAGCCATTTCGGGTTTTAAGCTTACCAGTATCTTGTGATATCTGAGGGAATTCTAGTTTATTTAAATGATAATGATAAAGAACAAACCAGAATCAAACTATGATTTCATCAATTACTGTTTGACTAGAGACAGGCAACCAGCTAAAGGCCAGAACTTTCCCCCCATTTTTCCAGCTCTGAGTGTCATGAAGGGTGTTGAGGTGATATTGTCAAGGTGGATGAATTTGAAATGTTCAATCTTAGTTTCTTCCACTTTTTTTTTAAATGTGTCTAAGTTTAGCATAAACATACTGCAAATTCCCAAGTTCAGTCATCAAAAAAAAAAACACATTGAGATTAGTTCCAATTGGAAACCAATTTTCTGAATCTTCCAGAGGAACTGAGGAGGGGTGCATGTGAGTCTGAGACTCACCAAAACACATGCAAATGGCAGGATACCATGTTTTGCTTTAATGCCTCAACCTGAGACTGACCTGTGGTCCAACCAGCCCAATATCATCTACAGTGATGGGCAGGAACAAATCAAGCTCACCTTCAATCATACTTTTTTGACATTTCATTTGCAATCTATCATGTCATCAAGCTAGTATTCACTTAGCCTCGGTTTCCCTCTAACTGCAATAAAGGAACAATAATACTGCCCTCTCATACTCTGTTCTAGTAAACACCCTAGGCTACAATACATTCATGTGTGTAAGATACATTATACAAGCATTATATTTCATATATATATACCATTTCACATACTTCATTTCATATGAATTTTACAAAAATATGGAAAGGTATCATCTTAATTTTATATGAAACTTTAGAGGATCAGAGTAGCTCTCACACTATCCAAACTGTAGACTTCTTGATTCACAGGTATGATTCTTGGTCATTTCATCTGATTTGGCAATTAGCTATTTCAAGTCTTTCTATTGATTAAAACATGAATTTGGTTCAGCTATCATTTCACAATCCTCCTTGTTTTTTAATGGAGAATTCTACATATCATGCTAATTATTTTTTTTAAAATAATTAAACTGGTGCTTAAATTTAGGCATTGATTAATGACATTGAAAAGGAAACACCTATTGTATTACTAAAGACAGTTTCTTTTGAAACAGGTCACTATTAAGGATACAGCAGATTATAAAGCATAAAGTAAGCCCTTATATAGAACACGACAAGCCTTTACTACTGCTTGATTGTTTTAACTATCTTCACACTTTAAAACTTTATAGTACCAATAAAGTTACTGAAATTCAAATATAGAGGGAGGAACAGTTGCATTTCCTTATCATTTCAGGACAACCTAGCTCTGCTTTATTGTGACAGCAAATATCCTCTCCTTCCACCAAGATAGATAAAATACAAAATGCAAGATACAACTATGAAGTATTTTACTCTCTTAGTTTACATAGCTTCAGACAGCAGACTTAATACACTTTCTAATAGAACACTAATGTGTTGATCTCAAAGAATGAGATTCCTCTGAACTACTTGCAGCATTCCCTACTGGCATGCTTAACCCATTTTTCAGCTTTCAAACCTGTGCTGTGGGACCTTCCCTGTTCAACAATTGACATCTATTCTTTGCCATTTTAAAGTAACCCCACAAATGAATCCTTCTTTTTAATGGAAAGATAGTTTCAATCCTCCAAAGCCTGAACTTAGTATAAGGGTCTCTTAGATATATACATCCAAACAGACATACAACTTTACTTTGTGGGGCTGTATGAAAACTGACTTTGAAATCTTAAATTGTGAGAACATAGACATACAGCAAAGCATAAACAATGGGATCCAGTGCTGTAATGCCATTTGCTTGGTTTTGGCTTAATCAGTACAAACCCAGTCAACTGGGGTTTATTCAATAAAACATACTTAAAGGAACCATGATTAAGCCTTTGTATAATGTGTGGACCCAAATCATTCTATACTGTATGACAAAGTGAGAGTGAGGGAAGAGCTATACTTATCACAGTTATTATTAACTGTATTTCTATCCTGCTCTTCCATATTGTAGATGATTTAAGAGAGGATCATAACAATGAAAAGTGTAATACAACAACTGGAATATTATAAAAGAATTAAACAACAGTCAGAGTTAATTTAAAAACAGAAACATAATTATCGATGAAAACCCTTCTGAATTAAAACATGATTTGATTCCTGTTGAAATACATTAATGAGATAGCAACTCAAATATCAGTGGGGTTAATATTCCAGAGCTGCAGTCTAGAGCTACATCGAGCTAGATTTTCTTCACCTTTGAAATTAAAGACAGAGACAGTAATGGACCCATAACAGTAGGAGATTTACTACCCTCTGCTTTAGCACAGCCTAAAAAAAGTGGTACATCTACTTTGAGCATTCCAATAATTATACTCCAAACTTTATTCCACTCATATGAGTTAAACTTTGCTACAAATGACTGACATTACCTGAGGTATATGGGCTTTAAAAATGTTTCCTGTTGTCCACAGTTCTATGTAAATATGCTTATAGCTTCCCCAGATGTGAAGCTACCATCCTTCTGAAAGTTAGGGTGGGCCATCCATTTGTGAAGGCTATACGCTCAGTTCCCCTAAGTGTGGAAGAGTGGAGTGTCTGAAGTCTTGAAGGGCAGGGAAGCAGTCCTACATATGGGTGGTAAGGAAAGCCAAACTGCTCTGAGCTTAATAGGAAAGCTGATCCAGTTAGAAGTTCTGTAGTCCTTCCTAAGGTAGTGGCCTCCAGATACACTGCGAGTATCACAATGGGACTGCATAAGGCAACATAGCAAGCAATTCCACAATGGTTCATCTCTGAAAACTTTCTCTTTTCTTTCTAATAGCAGTAGCCTCAAACTCAATGGCACGTTTATAGACATTCATTTTGATTTCTATACTGTAGGCTGTGTTGTTAAGCTGCTGTACAATACTTACAAAAACTTCTCTTTATTAAAAAAAAATTAATTAAAGCTATATACTGAATCCTGCTAAGTTAAGTTGTGACTATTTAACAGAAAGAAAAAGGGAAGTATTACAGTATAAAGAAAAATTTAAAACAGAAGCATATTGGCAGAAATTGATCAGACACAATGATTTGTCTTTGAAGTTCAAAGACTACAGGCCTTTGGTATTGGGCAGCCTGACTCTTGCATGCTCATTGAGGTTTCTACAGCAAGTAATTCAAGTGTATCCTTTTGTTGGAGCAAAGCATTATTTCTTAATGTGAAATTTTGCTTTTAAAATGTTCCTTTTTTCATTCCCTATGTACTCTAATTGGATATTTTTTGCAACAAGCCTGAAGTGTTAAATGTTGTTTAAAATGATTTTTCTCTGGGTGTCAACCTTAATTAAACAAAATTAAAGGAGTTTCTCTTTTTTCAGGAGTCATATGGTTGTAAAGAGAATTCAGTGATGGATTCGCTTGTTAAATATGGAGAACTTTCCTTTAGAAGAGGAAATTCTCTTAAGGAAGTTATTCTGAGAGAAATAAAAGTTCAGGATGAAGCCAGCAAAAGGTGTGAAGGATTTCCCTTTGATTTCCCAATGTGTGTATTTGGGTTGAGACACAGACTACATTTTATGCACATATTAATAGCATGCTAATAAGACAGCAATCTCTACTTTAACAGTGACTTGCAGGGACAGTCTGATATTTTGAGTCTTAAGACAGAAGGCGTCTTGCTTTCTTACACTGAAAGGAGCAGAATGAGAAATCTCCTGAAAAGAAGAATTCTTTATTTAGATCCCAGTCTGTTTAATTCCTCACCCAACCTGAGCTTAATTTCCATTACAATCAGGCAAAGTCAGGTCAGAATATTAATATTTTTTTCTTCTTTGGATTTATTAGTTGGACAACAAATATAGTTAGCTTCTCCAAAGTTTATTTCTCCAACCCTTCTATCATTCACAACGGCATATTTGAATCCCAAATGAACTCCAAAAACAGTACTTCAGAGCAATTCTTCTGTTTTCTTTCTTTAAAGAATTCTGTTAAATTCTTTAAATTTTGAGAATTTTGTATATAAAAACCACAAGCTATTTCTTCCAATTTATTTTTTAACTAATATTAAGGAAACGTCAACTGAGACAGAATTTGTAATGTCACCAAAATAAATATGCCTACAAAATAGGATAGGTGGAAGTAAAAAGAAAGAAATAGAATATTTTTTTCCCTTTGTTAGAAAATGTATTCTGCAAAAAAAGTAAAACTCAAGTTCCATAAAATGTATTTTAGATCCAAATATATATTGTTGAGGGCAAACATTCAAAGCCACTGATTAAAAGATATTCTCTTAAACTTTCAAGTCATTGTGTAATTATTAAGATTTATCTTATGCCATACAAACATAAGAATATTCAAACTCAAAATGTTTTTAAAATATTTTTCACATTTGTATTCATTTCTTTCCCTGTTGAATTGTTTGAATTTCTTTCGAAATAATTTAACTTTTACATTGAGCAAATGACAAGTATTCAGAAATAAAAAACTTATGCATTGAATGCACTATATGCATATATATCCCCTTTTTTTCAGACTGATATTTATTTCTTTGGGGATCTAAATTGAGATCAACTGTGATAAGTATTTATGGTTGATCTTCATAGATTTTAAATGTAGCCCTATGTCTTATTCATTATTTGGGGCCTATTATCATCCTAAACTATTCAAAATATTTTATATAAAAATCTTGGTTCCCAGAAGATCAAGGAATCACTAGGATTGTATTCATTCATTCATTCATTCATTCATTCATTCATTCATTCATTCATTCATTTTCAAA